AAGATAGCGAGTGGCTTTATCAAGAAACAGCATCAAGTCATGTCACTTTCCCCCTGAACTGGGACAAGATTTGCATGGAAGAAAATTCACTACTGAAAATGCAAACTTTGTTTGCAAAGTTCTGATTTTTCATTTGATATGCATTATGATATATTTGTTGAGTATAGCCTCTAGCGCCGAACTTAACCATGTTTCAAGGTAGTGCCAAGTGCTAAATAGTTTTAATTTAAGAGAAAATGATCTCCTGCAAAGGCATTCTGAATTGGGGTTTAAAGTTAGCGAGAAGAAATGAAATTTAAAGAAGGATGCAAGACCATGAGAACAAACTATCTACACCAGCAACTGATAGGAGAATTTTGGATGATGGGATTTGATTTTCAATTATTTTATGTCTTTCCAAAAGGCATTTTTCATTGACCAAACAGGAGTATCATGACATCTCAGGAGAGCACGCCAGATTTTTTTTTAGGTCAGAATTCCTGGGTAGGAATTATAAATTAACAAATCTGAGAAAGGGGATATCTGAATATGTTCAAGACCATACAATTAACAATGCTGGTAACACTTGCCGGAGAAGCTTCTGTAATGGTCCCTCCAGGTGAGGGAGTTCTGTGTGTAATTTCTATGTATGCGCCATTGCATTGCACTAAAACAGTTACATTAGCCCTTCGAGATGGAATCACTCTTACCTGTTACTGGGCCACTGCTGCATTCCATTTGCACCCAGGTCTGCAGGAGGTGTAGAAACTGCAACACTGCATCCTCTCTCATTGCATCTGCTGTTTAGTTTCCTTTAAGAATTTAAGAAGGGAGAAGAGGTGTTTTATATAGGCTGTTGACTCTCCCTGTACTTAAAAGTATATTAGCTAGATAATTGTATATTCAGTTTAATTACTCACTGTTTCTTATTGAAAGAAGATTTAACGAAGGGAAAAAAAACCAACAGCAATAACATTCATATCTATGGAGCAGCTAACTAGTATACATAATATTCTGCTTTTGAAACAGAACTAGCCAATGTAAAAAAAAAAAAAAGTAAATTCAACATGTAAATACTTTTTTTCATTTTACACTGTTGTATTATAAGTGTATATGGTGTTTACTTTTTCAAAACTTTCTTACCTGGTAGTTGTCTTGTTTTATGAGTTGTGTTTTTAACTAAGAAAAACCTTTGCCGTCTGTTAGGAAAAAGCAAAACAAAAACAAAAAAAAATTTTGCAAGTTAAAATGTGGGTTAACTTTTCTCCATCATTTGCATTTTATTTGTCCTTATTTGCATTGTAAAATATTTTATTATAAAAAGGTTGATTTTTTTCCCCCATCAGTCCATATGTTTAGAGGGAAGTTTTGTTTGTTGGGATTTTTTTTTAGCAAAAGAATTCACAAAAATGACATTTTTTCAATTGAGGAAAAAATCTCTACATTTATAATAGCCAATAGCATTTCAGCACATTTTTGTTATCCTCGTCTCTCCTATGCTGCTGCTAATTACAATATTATGACTTACTCTACTCTCCTAGAACTATTTTTATGTAAGTAATGTATGCTTTCTTGTTTATAAATGCCTGATTTAAAAAAAATAAGAAAAAAGCTTGGCATATTTATCTATTTCGCTGTGTACCTTGATAGTCCTTTTACACCCCCTTTTCCACATCCCTGACCCCTGAAACAGATAATATTGTAAAATAAAGGACTTTATGAGATTATGTATGAAAATAGCTATGCTTATATACCACAGTGACTGAATGTACAGTGTATAGACGCATTACCTAAAATAAAATTGTTTGTCCAGAAAAAATAGATATGCTACATTCTTTCCATTTCTCAGTATTTGAAATTGTGGCCTCAGCATTTGAGACTAGCTAATTTAAGAAGCTTTAAAGGGGCCTGGATTTCAGCACATGCTGAACAGGCTCACAAACACATGCAGAATAGATAGATCAGGATCTATTTAGGCTAGGGCAACTTTTCTTTAGAAAACAACAGGGAAATACTAGCAGAGAACCTGCACAAGATCTGAATCTATATAACACTTGAGTTCTTCCTCCCTATGTAGGCCTCTCTGTTTCTATTATGATCATGACAAATTCTCCAGTCAAAATGAGGGCCCAGCACACTCGGTGCTGTGAAATGCATAAAAAGACGGTCCTTGTCCTGAAGAGCTTACACATGGGAATATTTACTGAGATGACTGTTCTTCTCACTCTGCCATGTGAATAATCCTTGGTTTGGACTCAGCCAAAATAATAACAAAAAAAAAAATCTGTTGATTTAGATAGGAACAAGATATATATTCAGAAACAGTAGATTTCCCCAAAGTAATAAATTGGACTCAGGACAGGTGTGAGAATCTAGGATGAAAATCAAGATCAAGAGAAAGGATAAGCCATCTTTTGGTCAGGACAATATAGGAAGGGAAAGGCCAGGAGACAAGGCACTTGAAAGATTTGAGACGAGTCTGAGAGGCATAATGGGGTCAGGGAATATGTTCAGTGAAAGAACTAGGATGAAGTAAGAGAAGCTGCTGATTAGCAAAAAGGAATGCTTAAAATGCAGACTTCCCTACCAAACCTAAAAAAAAGCCAGCAGAAGAAATGCAATGAGCCTTGCTGCATTTTAAAGGACCAGCCTTCTAAACATTATGGCTTCACATAACTAATCAACACTTCACAAGAAGACCGATTCATTCCTATTTATAAGAGTGTGCAAGAATCGGGAAGAGAACTTGCTCTCTCGGCCCTCTGGGACCCTTAGACCAACACCCCCACAACTTACCGCTAGCCCTTCAGAGGTGAAGTAGTGGATTTTTCCTATCTTACATGGCCCGTTGAAAATACTAGAGTAGCCCATTCCTTGAGTCCTGTGCCCTCTGTGCCAGTTGGCTGCCTTCCACTCACTGCTAGTTGCAGTTACTCCTCTGCATGTGCGGATTGTTGCTAACGCAATTTGAGACCTCTCTGCATGCAAACCAAGTCTGATAACACAGCACTTGTTCTCAGCCTTGTCTATACTGGGACTCCCAGGACACCTTTCTTATTTAGCAACAAGGTCAGAATGTTGGCAGCTCCCAGATGGGTAACTCCTAATACATGGCTATACTCCACAAGTCTGGAAACAGCCAATGGTGCTTAGCACTGCCCCCTGATTTTTTTTCCCTGTTTACTATGCAATTGTTTCTGTACTGCAAAAGCTCAGTAAAACCATTTGCACCAGAAACAGGAAGGGAATTTTAGCACTGGCCGTGTCCCTTCAAAAAAAACAGAAGGGTCAGCACAGCCAATGGGTGTTCTGGCAATCAGGAGTGTTGAATGTTGCCCAATCCGGAAAAGAGCCACCAGCCCTGCCATATGAAACAAGACAAAAATAGAATCGTGAGACTGAAGACGTAGCATTAAAATAGAGGAAAGACAATTAGAATATGTGAAAAGGTCTCTTGCCCTGCATGTCATCATATCAGCTCACATGCCCCGTGGGAGAAGTTCATACCTTTTAATATTTTGAGTGCTAGGGTTACTGTTCTATTAAAGTGCAAATTATGCTCTCAGACATCTGGGGACTTAACATGCCAACACCAAGCAGCTAAACCAGAGCAAGCAGCAACTGTGGAAAGGACCGGGACTGGGGGGTGGGATTCAGTAAAGACCAAGCCAGAAGTTGTAGTGGTTTCATACTTCCCCTTGCATCACTTCAGCTGTTTGCCTCTTAGGGCGTGTGTAGACAAAACAGGGGTTTACTTTGCCCTAAACTGAAGCGGTGCATTTTTAAAAACACTGCTTCAATTTAAGGCAAAGTAAGCCCCTGTGTCATGTCCTAGCTGCCTTTCCGGCAGGAGGGAGGGGAGGGTGTGCTACCAGCAGGTGGAGCAGTCGCTGGGCTGCAGGGGATGGGGAGCTGGTGTTTTCCTCCATGGCAGTGGTGGCCCCCCCAGGCAGCACCCACCTGCAGGCACTGGATCAGGTGGTCCCAGGGGGCCCCACAGCCACAGAGGGAAGGACCAGGTCCCTGCACAGCTCATGCAGGCAGGATCAGGGTAGGGGAGATCAGGCTCGCTGCTTAATTTTTTTTTCCCCTTCGGTGGAACCTGCCTTCCCAGGCTGCTGCCAGGCTGCCTGCATGGACTGCCTGCACAGCCCCTGAGATGCACAGAGCCCGGTGCTTCCTCCGTGTCTGTAGGGCAGCAAACTAAACTGCCTCGGAGGTGTTTTATTCTGCTGCACCCCAAGTCATTTAAGGTGTGTTATGCTGCCGCATGTGCTATAGTGGCTAGAATTAATGCGCAATATGCCGCTGACACATGTAAACATCAATGCCATTAAAGCAGTGCAGAAGCATTTAACCCACTTTAAAGTGTTGTGCACATGTGCCCCTCGTTCGGTCTACACACGCCCTTACTCATTTCAGCATGACCCTGGTAAAAGCTACTGATTAGTTGTTGTGAGTTATTCTTCTCCCTGCAGCATTCATGCTTTTATAGACTGCTAGAAGGAGGTATTTTTGATCTTGCTGAGATTAACTAACTCTTCTTGTCCCCACTTAAAATTAGCTCACTAGAGGAAGATGTGCAAAAAAAGGAAGGAGACAGAAATTGCCTGCAATAGTTCTACTATTGTCTACCTATCTAGGCCCTTCCAGCAAGAAGCAAGGAGTTGTACAACAAGCACAGCCTGCGGGCTCCAGCTGCTCAATACTTTTTTCTGCTGAAAGTTTTGACAAAAGCTGAATTTTTTGTTTTTTATCACCACTTTGATGGAAAATGTTGACTTAATTGTCGAAAAGACAGAACTCCCAGACCTGCTTAGAACAAAGGTTTTCAGTTGTGTGAGAAAATGGGACATTTTCCACAAATGTTCTCACCAAAAATAATTTCCACTGACAACCAGTTCTAAACAGAAGTTTTCCAACCACCGTACTTGGGGCGCACAGTCTGTTTTCAGCTAGGCCTTTTACCCCATAGCCAGCAGTAGCCCATACTGTCCTTCCTTCCCCCAGCAAAAATCATCTTACAAAAAGTATCACATTTGTGCAGTGTGGGAGAGGGCAGACAGCTCCTCTTACCAAGTGGACATCAGCTCTCTTTTTTTCTAGTGTGGTCATACAAGAAACTGCTTAGAGACAGGGAAAGGAACATGAGATTACCTAGAGTCCAACTCCCATGATTTTAAGACTAGAAAATGAATACTGCATAATAATCTTTGTGCCTTAAGACCCATCAGCATTTTGGACAAGGACCTTGAAAACACTGGAAACACAAAAGTCAGCACACCTTTAGTCTTCACTCCTAGGAATTTCCCTTATACCTGTCTCTCTCACCAACATCCTGTCCACAGGGTGGTTTACTAAAGATGCCCACAGGTTGTTGGAACCGGTTACCCTCTTACCATGACCTTAAAAACATCTCCCAGCAACTGTAACTCCCTCCCTGGCCAAATGAAACAAGCCTTTAACATGGCACCGCTTATCTACTGAACAGTCTTAACTCTTACACATCTTAAAATCGTCATTTCCAGTGGAGACTCTCCAGAGAATTTCAAAGCACGTTACAGACCAGAAAGTGCGTCACAAAGAAGATAAGGCTGGTGCCTTCAGAAGTTCCCAACTCACTTTGACTTTCCTCTTTGACAATCCCAGCCCAAGTGACTCAGCTAAACTCACACCATGAGTCAGCTGGGAAGCCAGGTGTGAAACCCGTGAGTCTTAGATCACAGACAATAGAGCATAGAGTGTGGTGCTGATAACACCAAGGTCACAGAAGTAAAGCTAGAAGGGACCTGAAGAGATCATTCCAGTCCAACCACTTTGACACTGAACCGTCTGCTCAACCTACTAGACCCTCATGGCCTTTATGGGAAAGCATTCTCTTGCTTACAGTAAAGGGGAAGTTACCATTTTCATCCTCCTCCCAATTTAAACTGTTTTGGTTCAAAATAACCTGTCAAATTGACCAGAGCCACTGTTGTTAAACACTGACAGCCTGGATCCCCATGGCCCAGCATATGGCAGAAGTGCTGCCATGGGAATATCTGGGCCTACAGGGCGCACAGAGATTAGAACTGGTACTATCTAATCCAACACACACGCCTTCCGGGCAGGAGGGTGGGGGGGTATGAAAAGGTGGGGGAGGGACTACTTAAACTGCAAGTGAAAACCAGTTTGTACTTGCTGCTGTTTAAATCTGCCT